GTCCCAGATTTCCTTTGCGGTGTTCAAGAACATGCAAGTGTCACTGATCGTTGGGTCCATAGAATCTCATAGCCAGGACATAATCATGGAATCCTCCACTTCGCATGCTGTAGAGGCTGGATCCCTTTGTTTTGGTCCGGTTCCAAGTAGGTGATTAATACTCCCTTTGCCTTTTAGGTATGTCCGGACAATTTGGGACCAATTGAGATAATTCTTCCCATTGAACCTGTTGGATGTTTGAATATTCTGCAACTCTCCAATTTTCTGAACAGCATTGTATTCTTCAGAATGGTTGGAGTTGTTGGAGATAGTAGTTTCGAACATTGACATGGTGGAGAAGAAAAATTTGCAGCAATTAAGCCTAGAATCAACTTCAACGGCAAAGGACGATCTTTCTCGTGACAACGCGCTGCTCCTCTCGGACGAAGCGGATAGGATGGAGCGCAGATCGCAGAGAACCGAGATGCCGAAGAAGATGGAAACGAACACTAAGGCGGAAGCAGCTCGTGCTCCACAATTTCTGGAATCCCGTGCTCGGGAGGAATCCCGTGCTTGCTACTGGAACGAGGCAGAGGGGTCGCGGGCCGCCAAGAAACGCAAGGAGTCGCAAGATCGACACGCTGAGAATCGCAAGATCGACACGCTGAGAATCGCAAGATCGAATCGGAAGCGGTCGCTGAGAATCGCAAGATCGAATGGCGGCTCTAGGGTTAACCTGTCTCTTATACCATGTGGGAAATCAAAGGAATAATTTTTATTTCACACCTCCTTTTGCATTGATCATACAAGATATTATATAGGAAGAGAAGGAGAAAAAACTAGGAAACTATTTAACTAATTCTCTTAATTTAAGGGATTACAAATTTATTCTAATTTCCTTAATTTAAGAGATTTGCCAATTAATTTTAATTTCCTTAATTAATAAAATTAGAATTAATTCTCACAATTTTATTTCCATTTCAGTCACATCTCGACAATTTTCTATTTGAATTCAGCAATAATATTTGTTTTCCTAGTATTGTTTAGGCTAACTTCGGTATCGATGCTTCAATGTAAGCTCCTCTATAGGAAAAAGGCATTGTGCGGCCACAATTTGACAGCCACAATTTGTCATACGCGATTTATTGGTATTATCCATCATAGCAATCAAACTTGAGAGCATCATGCTCAGACTCATCTTCAATCTCGCCACCATCAAAATCTAGCCTAAAATTATAGAATAGACCCATCCCCTCTAATGATGAGATGAAAGGAGAGAACAACCCATGTTTGGGTGCGAAGGAGGCTGCAAGAGAGGGCACAAATAGTAAAATCAAGAGAAAAAGAAAAAATAATTACCCCAAATGACTATATGAAAGCTTTAAAAAACTGCAAAAAGCATTTAAGAAAGGCAAAAAAGAAGAATCAACTTTTATGAAATATAAAAGAGCATTAACACTACAAAAAAAAAATCATAGAATATTCTAGAAAAGAGATAAAAGATCTGGAGACATCAATCAAATTAAATTCATTAAAAGGTAAAATATTAAGAAATTAGTTAATAATGACGATAATAAAAAAAATGAAAATGTTGCCTTAAAAAATTATTAAATGAATGTTTCAAGAATTAAATTTTTTTGAAAAAGTATAATAAATACAAAAATGAGCAATGCTATAAGATTGATACAAAAAACGTGAAGCGGTGTTCGCTATGAAGATGTTTAAAGTTAAAATTTAAGGTTTATATGAGATTGAGAGGGTTATGAAAGATATTATAATAGTTTCATCAACAAATCTTTTCAATGAAATTTTGAAAACTAGTAGAACGTCAAATGCTTACAAACCTATTTTGGTGTTAAGATTTATCAAAAAATTTAAGATAAAGCTAATAATAGAGGAATCAAACTTACAAGTCATATAATGATGTTATATGAGCGAGTATTCAACCATAGACTTCGAAAAAAAACAACCTTTTTGAAAAATCAATTTAGTTTCATGCCAAGAAGACGGAATAGATTTTTAAGTTATAACAATTAATTTAAAAATATAAAGGAGAGAATAGATCATTATATGACCTTATTGAATTAAAGAAGGGACATATGATCAAATTATTTTGGTGTGAATATAGAAAAATATTGTATCAAATATATCCTGAGGTATCAATTATGTATGATAGAACATCAGATACTATTAGAACTAGCTATCGAGTAAACAAAGAAATTCTAATTATAGTGAAATTACATCAACAATAAGCAATAAATCTTTATATTTTCATAATGGTTATGGAGATGCACTTAAATAATATTTTAAGGGGTGCATTAGTATATGCTTTTCGATGCTAATATAACTAATCAATGAGATGTATACTAAAATAAATGCAAAGAACAAGCAAGGAAATATTTATAAGAAGAAGGATAAAAATTAATAGAAAAATATTAAGTACATGATATGAAATTTTAATGGGTGTGAAATTAATAATTATAAATCAGTATTATTATAAAATAAAGCGATATCAAAGGTGATAGATTAAAGTAATATTGAATCCATTATAAATAAATGAAGATTGATTTGAAACCAAAATTAGGAGCGACAAAAATAAGAATAATATAATGGATATGTGCCAAATTTAAAAAAGATAGATTAATAAATGATTAAATTACAAAAATTAGAATGGCATCTATTGAAGTTAAAGAAATTAAAAAATAGACTTAGATGGCCAACAATGTACAACAAATTATGGAAAAAAACACACATTAAAACTAATGTCGAAATACTAGGAATAAAAAAGGGTTAACACAAGATAATATGGATACAGGGTAATCAAAATTATTTGAAAAATAAGCCTCTTGAATAAACAGGTCTATTATTTTGCATGATAATGTCTAAATATATTAGAAAATAGAGGAACTTAAGCTAAGACCCTATGTTTTAGCTCATTATTTTTTCGTTCATTTAACTTAAAAAATAATACAGCTTTTTAATGTTTTGGACATATTTACCAAAATAATGAATCTAATTACTAAGATTCTAAATGTGAGTATTAAAACAATTGACCAAGTTACTCGAAATTTTGAATCAGGAGACATCGGTTGGATTCGTATTTTGAGTAATCAACTTCATTATCTTAAAAACACATTAAAAATAATCATAACCAGATCCATTAATTTAGTAACCACATACAAAGCACTAGTAACCAAATTCAGAGTTTAGACTTTAAAAAAAAAATAGTCAAGATAATTTATCATGGATCATTAGATCTTGGAGCAATTAATCCTTAAATATAAATATATCTTTGTTAACAAGAAAGACTCTTATTAAAACGTTAGTTTATCTTTCCCCATAATCCATATAAAGGTTGTTACTTTATTCATTTTCAATATAGAGAAAAATATAGAACATTAAAACTCACGCTCTCAGAGTAGCTTTCGCTTCCTCCTCAACCAAGAACCTCAGATTTGTCAATTCACTACACTTAGACCTACGAAAATCCCATCCCACTAAGAAATCTTACATTTTGGCTACTAAATAAGTTCTAGGCTATCTTTTGAAAACAGTAAACTTTAACTCAAATGAACTCACAAAAAAAAACCCTGAATAAAGGTCCAAGAAACACTAAATTCTCCACTGAATTCTCAACGACCATAGACCTTTATTTCTTTTGTTCAAGGTAGTTTAGAGGTACCTTTGATCCCTTCACCCTAATTTTAATTAAGCTCAATCCAATGTATTAAACAAAAATTAATCATGATCTAATTTGCTGATGAACACTATGAAACACCAAAAAAATAACTCCACGATAATAGCATGAATTTTCAAAGAATCATACACACAAAAATAACAAAAAAAAAGGAATTCTAGGCCCAATCGGGAAGAATTTATAAAGTCAAATCCCAAACCCAATAAATTTTTTAACTGGAGTTAGTTTTAACCTGATAAACCATTTAAAAAAAAAAATGTTAGAAAGCCCAACAGAGGTAGATGGTTGAGCCCATGAGCACGTTCTCTTCACAAAACCCAACATTTTTATAAGAAATTCTATATGGTCATTACACCTATTTAATTTATTTTTTTATGTCCAAATAGATAACCTTAATGTGTTATTCATTGGTGGTAGAGAAAACTAAAAATATTTTTTTTGCTCCGTTTTGGGTCGGTTTTATAAGGACTAAATGGTAAGAAAATTTATATGCATTGCTCTACAAAAGCAAAGCTACTAAGATGAAATTTGATAACTGAATTCTTGGCCAATATCACCATCATCATTAGCCCCCCAACTATCTGTATCAACTTAATTACATTGCTAATATTCCTGTTAAAAAAAAATTACTAAGGAAAAGACCAAACATGATGATGATCCTAAGTACCAAATACCTACCCATCCCGCCTACCACCAGTACACAAAACTTCACCAAAGTTTTTGTCACTAATATTGAGTGAATTGACATAAAGAGTTAAATGTTGCCCCCCAGGGGCTTTCCCCCCCCCCCCAACACACACCCCTTGAGGATATGTGCGCTCCTCTAAACCTCAACTTCTAGCAAACAAGACAAAGATTTGTGTAGCATTGGCAGTTTGTACAACTAGTATTAGGAATAATAAAAAACACCGTGTGCCTGAAGATTATAAATCCTTTCTCAACTACATGATGAACCATGACACAATAGCTTTATTGCTAAAGCATAAGATAATTTTCCTATACTATAGCATAAATAAATACATATCAGTAAAGATTAATATCAAAAAAATCTTAAGCATTTACATATCTACTATCAATACTTTTATTTTTTACATACATAACACTCAAATCTTTAATATCACATAAAAAATGTCATTATTATAAACATTTAAATTATGAAATATACCTTTTAATGTATAGATTTATAACACCGAAGCATGTATAGTGTAAATATCAAAATTTAGTTGTAAGATATGTAAATATAAAGGAATGGCGTGGTATGTATGTAAAATTCCTTTTTAATGAATATAAACAATTTCTTCAGGCTAAAAATATATAGACTAACCATTACTTCGTTATTCAGTAGTCGCACCAACAGTTGCTTATATGCAACTTCTACCTGCAAAACAAGAACAAATAGAAATAAAAAAATGTAGCCAACTCAAAAACATAGTTTCCCAAACATAAGCATTAATATGATCAATCTCAAACCCAAAGGAAATAGATATCCATGTTGCAAAATGATTTAAAATCAAATAGAAGCTGCCTTTTAAATATTTTAAACATAAACCAAACCCTACTCAGCGAACTCCTTCATAGCTAAATTAGCCTAAAAAAAAATAAGCAAAGAAAAGGTTAGGCCTCTTCGGAACAAGCAAATCAGTAACATCCAAATGCTAAAATAAGTGCCAAAAGCTGTTCTAACTGCTAAACGCAATTCAGTTCTTTCATTTTGATTCCATCAAAAAAATATTTTGGCTTTGAGACTTCTTTAAAGTAGTAGTGCCACACTCTATTTGTTGGGGCTTGGGAGTATTCTTTTCATTTACGGGTCTGTGAATGAATCTGATAAAATAAAGAAATTGATTGGAATAATAGAATATATAGGCTAAGAACCAGAGAGACTAAGGTGTTCGCATCCATGCCATCCACCTACACCACTAGGATGGCCCAATTTCTGACATGTTCAAAAATCGAAAATGAAGTGGATGAATTGTTATATATAAAGGAGATAAGAGTGGTGGAGAACATGTTGTCATTAGAAAGTGGGACATAATGAAAAGAGAATGCAATTAGAATGTAGGGCCTAGGACTCCGAATTTTCATTATCGGATTTTACCAAGAATCTACCCCAAATCCCTCCCTCATCATTCCTGCACTTCTGAAATTGTTTACTTTAGTTAGAATTGTATTGTATTACAGTTTAAGTTGCCATTCAGTGACACATCCAAGCCATTAGTTAAATCTATAGCCTGGTTTTGAAAACTTAAAGCAATAAAGCACCAGCCACCCCCACCCAAAAATAAATAAAAATTATTCTCATTCAATTTTTTCCAGTGTCAGGAACTTCTGCACAAACCATCACATGTAGGTTAATTTTTCTAGGGAAAACCATCCATTTATATAGTTTGTCTAAAATTACATCCTCCTAAAACGTAGGTATTGTAACTGGTGCACTATCAAATGCATTTATCTTATCACATTCCTTAGTAGTACGAATAACTAGCACAAATTCATTATTTGCCACCATTGAATTAAATTCAACAGCATTCGATAATGCATGTTGACGAAATGACTCATGTCCTGAAAAAACTACATTTAGATCATGGAGCAAAAGTTTTGGCATGACCGACCACAGATCGCAACGGGTTTGGTTTTTCTTACTTCCTTCGGACAGGTGGTTTTTCTACACACTAATAGAGAAGGCAACAGAACAAGGCGGCCCATTTTTGCGCCAATCTGGCTTTACAACATAGTTTTGTTTTGGAAAGTGTAAATGACAGTAGTGCTCTTTCCGCCATTCACATAGATGATAGGTCCCACCTTTGTTTTTGATCCATGCATCTTGGCACAGTTTTTATACCTTCTATTTTAAGTGCAATATATGCATTTTCGAGGAAAAACTAAATTTAAATCAGTTTATCTACCACCCAAACCATAGTCACCTTCCTACTCAATTGAATTTTGACTTGTATCACAGTTCATTATTTCTAGTGCTTCAACATTGCAATGTACTTGTGCTAATATAAGATCGTAGCACTCTGGGTTGTATGTTTCTACTAACAAAGGTTCAAATGAGTGTGATAAAGTCAAAAAAAAAGTGGTGAGCACTGTGTTCAATCATTAATTGATGAGATCTGCTAGAGCAGACAACATCATATACATCAATCGAATTCAAGGTTGGTTTGTAAGGTCAAGAAAATACACTCCAATTACTTCATAAGTTTTGAACAAATATAATTTGGGCACTTTTTGAACTTAAGATATAATAACCTTTAAAGTTAGATTAATTATGCAGAAGTGCCTTAAATTCAATGAGAAGTGCCTTAAATTCAACATAAACTACCACTGCGTCTAGTAACATAAATTCACATATTTCATTACAACAACAACAACAACAAAGCCTTAATCCCACTATGTGAGTGTGGGCTACATGAATCATTTTTCTCCATTGTGTCCTATTTAGTGTCATATTTTTATTTAGTTCTAATAAATTAAGATCATTTTTTATACAATATTTTCATTTAGTACTAATAAATTCACATATTTCATTATCATCAAACATTTCGTCCGCCGCCATAGATTGGAGGAAAGTCGCATGTATCTTTTAACTCTATCAAAATAAAACATTAAATATGATATTTGACCGCTCACATTGTTTCATAAACTTGCACTAGATAAGAAACGCGTTATTGAAAGTAATAGATATGATGGTTGTATATAAGGAAGCTTGTATATTAAGAAGTTTGATATAGGGAATCTAATAAATAGGTAAACTAACTAGAAGAGATCTAATTTCAGGATATTTTCTCTATTAGAAGTATTCAAAATCTAAAAAGATTGGAGTGTACATAACTATGTAGCATTCGTTTTCAATTAGTGAATAAGACAAAAAGGGGTTTTCCTTCACACGTCATCAGAGCTACGCATGGCTTCGTCTGCATCGTTCAGCTTTGTTCGCTTTGCCTTTAACTTGCAACTGGATTAGATCATCGATCGGCGTTGTCTGATTCATTTGGCTTTATTTGCTTCGCCTTCATCCAACAATAGGATTTGGGCATCAATTGGTGTTGTTTGGTTCGCCTTTGTCCGCTTTTCTGAGTCGATAAGGATTGTTTGCATCATTTTGCTCCGTCTTCATCCTGATCGGCGTCGTCTACTTCAGCTTACTTCATATTCATCATGATCAGCGTCGTCTTCTTTGTTAGACTTCGTCGGCTTCGTCTGCTTAGGTCATCTTTGTCGGTTGCTTCGTTTGGCTTCGTCGACATCATCAACTTTGTCTCCAAAAATCATTGAATTGTTTGCCAAGTTATCTCCTACGTCTATCATTTGTCTCTAGTGTTTGTCTCACCCTTCAACTCGTCCTTCAACACTAATTTAGTCTCATTGAATATTCGGTGATAATCATGAACATGGAACAAAAAATTGTAACAAATTTGGTTTCATTTGTGGTTAAAATTACAGATGAAAAGTTAATCAACATCAGTTATTTTTATTGCACTGAAGAAGTATTTGTCATGAGAATCATGTAATGAATAATCGCCCAACTGAAAATAATTTGAATTATTCTGAGTAGAAGAGAGTTGATGCCTAGTTGTTGATGCAAATATAAAACTCTATCGAATCTGATCAATCTAGTTATATTACTCATTGTGAATATGTTAAAAATGCAATTGAATAATTGGTATTTGTGTTTCTTGGGAGAGAATATTTCGCGAATCTTTGATGTATGTAAGGAGTTCTATCAAGCTGAACATGATCAATCACTCAACACGTATCACATGCACTTTAAGCATGTTTATGAAGAATTGAATGCACCATTGCCCTTCAGTACTGATGTCCAAATTCAACAGACTCAAAAAGAATAAATGGCTATTATGAGTCTTCAAGCTGGCCTTAACTCAGGTATGAAGGTGTCAAATCATAAATCATATATGACCCTGAGGCTTCATAATATTCATAGTTGTAAGGCTTCACTAGCACAACAACCTAGATCTCTTACCCAACCATGTGAACTTGGATATTTTATGAAATTGGATGAGTTTAGCATATTAATCTGCATAAAATCAAAAGAGTCTAACTCTGAGAGGCCTCATTAGTATTGACCATGAAAGCAAACTGTGACTGAGAACCTATCTGATTCTTTTTTAGTAGCTTCTGACAAGTTCTCTTCATACGAATGAATAGGTTCATGACAGTGGTAGCAAACTACCCTCGAACCTTGATTTCCAGAATTCAGAGTTTCACTTCCATAGTTGCCCTGAGACTGTTCTTTACTGATGTATTTATTTTTCTAGATAGCGAGAGTATTAGGTTGCTAGAGTGTTTCGTACTATTCCGAGTTCAAAGGCTTCATCTGTACAACAACCTAGTACTCTTGCTATCCAAAAAAATACACATAACAATAAACCTTAGTTTCAGAGCAATTATGTAAGTAAAACTTTGAATTTTGGAAATCAAGGCTCGAGAGTAGTTTGCTACTACTGTCATGAATCTGGTCATATGAAGAGAACTTGTCAGAAGCTGCTCAACAAGAATCAGATACGTACTCGGTCACAATCAGCTCAAATGGTCAATACTAATGAGACCTGTCAGAGTTAGAATCTCTTGATTTTTGCAGATGAATATGCTAAATTTATCCCATTTCATAAAGCATCTAAGAAATCTCCTTCTATCACTACATTTGCTGAGTCAGATAATAATGATATTTGTCTTATTTTCTCTTCCACACAATAGGTCATTGATTATGATGACAAATCACATAAGACGCGATCTAAAACTCTTTCTGAGTTTCATAAGCATCTTTCTTCCTTCACCGTAATAAATGGATCTACTTCTAATATTTTTGGTTATGAAACCATTAATATTACACCTTTGTTACCTTTAATGCATATCCTTAGGTTATCATACTTCTCTTTTAAGCTTGTCTCTGTTAGCAAGATTACACGTACTCTTAATTAATATATCTTATTCTTCTCTAACCATTACCCTTTTTTCAAAGCATATAATAAAGAAGATTATTATCATTTTGGATAACAACTGACCTCGACCCATAGCCTATTCCAGCACCTTTTCTCCATTTAAGATTCTCATTTTGGCATCCATCACTATTAATGCTAAAAATTTATACTCTCATTTTCAGCACTTATCATCTTTAGATTGTGAGTCGTGTCATTTTGCTAAACACCGGCTTTGAGTTGATTCATTCTGATGTATGGAAATCTTGTCCTATTTTATCCAATGGATTGCAATATTTTGTCAACTTTGTGGATGGTTTTTCTCATATGACTTGATCTTACTTCATGAAATCTCATATTGAGTTACTATCACATTTTCAATCCTTTTGTGATGAAACTAAAACTAAATTCATAATTTATGTTAAAGAATCTGAGAAGT